ATGGGAGGGGGGGGGGCAGGGGAAGTGGAGCAGATCACACAGATGCAGCACTTAAAATTGATTACACTATCAGCCACATCAGCCAAAAAAGCCAATTGCTAACAACATCAATTTTCCTTTTATGGTGCACACATAATATGGATCCATGCATTGGTGCTCCTCTAACTAGTAGCTGTACTAATATGCTAGGGGCCTAGGACTATTATTCAGTTTGAGACTGAAGCAAAAACAAATATAACTTCATTCAAATGAGTTGGAAAAAATAAATAAATCTGTGGGGCTGTGAAATAGGAGCTTCGTGATCAGGAGCACCCAACAGCAGGCAGAAATGCAGAACAGGAGCCAGCTTCATTGGTGGGACATCAAGACCATTAAAAAGAGAGGGCTGTTCACACTGGCATCGCTCAGAAGGGACCAGATGCTTTACAATGACCCCAAAGTCAAGCAATTCCTTCAGCACTGTGGGCACATCTACACAGACGCTAATGCACATTTGCATATTTTAATCCACATTAAAACATCAAGTTTTTAAAAAGTGCGCTTCCGCTAATGCACATTACAATAGAGTAAAGCACCTTTTTCTAGCACGTCCCAATAGAGGTCCCAAATTTAATGCGCATTAGCAAAAGCGCGTTAACAAACATGTGCACTCGCCCCATCCAACTAGAAATGCTGCTGCCAGGCAGTCAGAGGGGCAGAAGCAAGTGCCCCTATCCTGCCTGCTGCCCCATACACGTGACGCATGAGCATTAAACACACATTCAAGTTCAAGGCACCGTCACAAGAGACCCGAGAACCCCCTAAGTTGGCTCGTCAGGAACCACCAGGTGCCGGCAGGAAGCGAACCAGAAGACAGCGGGGCTCCGCTGGGCCACCTCCCGTCCCGATACAGGGGCGCGGCTGCACCACACGTGCAGCGAGGTTGCCCCTCAGTCGCGCAGCAAATTTGTCCCTCCCGGCCCGGCCCGGCCCGGCCCGGCTCGGCTCCACGAGTGGGGCGATCCCCGCCCTCCGCGCGACCTCACCTCAGGGCTCACGTAGGACACGAAGGAGGGCTTGGCGGGCCTCCCGCCAGCCGCCTTGCTCAGCATGGCCGCCAGCCGCCGCCGCCGGCCCCCACTGCAGCCCGGCGGCCCCGCGCGCTCCGCCACTGGC